GCAGGGCTCTGATTGGATAACGAGGTCAGAGTGTAACCTGATACTGACACTTTGTTTTCCCTACTACTGTAATTGGTACTACTATTACTGCTACTACAACCGCTTCCGGTGGAAACGCAGGTAGAGAGACTACGTTGTGCAAAGGTTCCTGCTCCCTGGTGGAAACGGGGCTTCTGTCTGCAGCCAGCTTCCTCTCAGCAAACTGCAAAACCATCCAACTGATCTGAGCTGCTGCACACTTGTCTGTTAGTGGCTTCAGCCGACCCATTTATGATCCCTCCTTACATCTATCTCATGCCTTTGTGCCGCATTCCCACAGTGTCCGGCCTAACCTCAGCACTGAGAAACCACAGCTCTGGAAATGAAGTGAATGAGTAACTGGCAGTGACAATGCATGAACCCCCCCCCTCCTGCTCTGTCCTCCTCTAATGATGTTCCTGATGCACTGTCCACCGAGCGGCTGCCTCACAGCGGAGGACAAACTGTCAGCAGCCAGCTGGTTTGACTGGATTAGTGTGGTTTGCCACAGGCAGCTAAAAATTAACTTTACAGGTTTGACTAAGTGAAAACTCCTCTTTCTAGTATCCAAACTCTTTGCAGGCTCAGAGCGTGACTTCCTACACTGTAGCCCCTCATGGCAGGGCTGGTTTAACAAGGCTCCAGAGGCAAAACTGACCTGTTGACCCCTCACTTCCCAAGGGTTTCTGTGTGGTGATTTAACAGAAACTCATTTTGGAATATGTGCCACGCACCAAGGAAGATCCTTTACTTTACTACCAATACAGCCATGGGGTCCCTAGTGTTGAGGGGGCCCCTGGTCATTTGACTGAGTGGAAAGTCAATAGAATTACTTGAAAAACACACAAAACAACCACAAAGAGATGCAAAACTACTACAATGTCACAAAAATGACAATAAATATCTGCAGAGTGACTGAAAAAAGCTGCTACATGGCCACAAAGACCCCAACAACTGCAAAGAGACGTACAAACAAATGCAGAACCACAAAGAGAAACAACAACAACACTGCAAAGACACAAAATGACCACAAAACCTCTATATTTACAAAGTGAGAAAACTGAAATTCACAGTATAGATTACGAATGGTGGGACCTCACCACTGGAGTGACTGTCACAACCACGAGGACAGTGGTTGTTAAAGTGCACAGTAAAAAGTTGCTGCAAACCTGTTTGAGAAATAATGCACTACCAAATATTTACACTGCAAATTCATCTGACCTCTCCTCCCTCATACGCATAATACAAACCATTTACTGAGCAAACACGACATCACAATCAAACACACATAGGGCTGACGATGACTAAGGCTCGCTGACTCACACTGTGACACAAGTTATTAATAAATGAGAGACAATGAAGGAGTAAAGTTCCTTCATCGTATAGGGGGATCACACTCCTCAGCCTCCCCGGGAAAGTCTATGCCAGGGTACTGGAGAGGAGAATTCGACCGATAGTCGAACCTCGGCTTCAGGAGGAACAATGCGGTTTTCGTGCTGGCCGTGGAACACTGGACCAGCTCTATACCCTCTTCAGGGTGGCGGAGGGTTCATGGGAGTTTGCCCAACCAGTCCACATGTGTTTC